TATTTAGTTACTACTACGTATAGTAAGTAACTAGTATAGGTTGTAGTAAGTACTACCTACTATACTACTTATAGTACTACGTCTAACTAGTTGTTAGTACTTATATATATATATATATATATATATATATATATATGGGAAAGGTTTTTATGCTTTCCCTATAGCATAGAAGTTTTATCCTCCTTCTACTATCCAGCTATCCAATTTTGATCAAGAGAGCCACTCACCATTTGATCTTAGATCTAACGTCTCAAAGTATTTTATTTTTAGTTTTTTTTATACAAATTGTATGAATATTAATTTGATACGTGCCATCTTCTCATCCGGAGGCACCTATAAAAAATATTAAAAATATTTTTCGATAAAATATAATGACCAAAATACCTCTTGAAAATTTTAAGGGTATTTTGGTCATTTTGTTTAATTGAAATATTTTTTTTTTATATTTTTCTCTAGTGCAAGTTTAATAGAGGAATGAACGTCCAAAATTTGGTGTCAAAATAGTTTATAGAAAAAAAATTAAAAATAAAATAGTGTAAAGACTTGACATTGTGATTGGGGCAATCTTAGCGCTCCATTCAGAATGGACGGTTGGATAACGGGGAGAATAGAACTTCTATGTCGCAGGAGAAGCATAGAAGCTTGCCCTACAATTAAATTTGAGCCTACCTCAAAAATTTAACTAGAAGAGGTTGTTTTGATGCTCAAATATCTTCAAATTGATCTTCTCGACATCAAGATGCATAGACATGAGAAACAAATGGATTTCAAGTTTTGTAAATAGTGCATTTTGTAATGCATGTTTGGACTGTCAATTTCAAGTTTTCATAGATTTGTCGATCTAAACTATTTTTGAAGCTTTAAACTTTATAAATAAATATGAAAATATATTTTAAGGCTATCACAAAGATTTTTAATATTGAAACCACATTTCTCGAAACTATGTGAAAGGAGGCTCTAATTTGATTGTTTAGAGCCTAGGCTCTATACAAACCGTATATATATATATATATATATATATACATATATAGAAGGGGTTGTGATGGGTGTATTTATCAAAAAGATGATTAATTTTTGTTTAAAAAATTATTTTAATAGATAACTTAACCATGAATCTACATAGTATAGAATATGAAATATCCTCAACAACAATATAATAAATTGAAGGGAAGATATGACTCAAAGAAGAATTATTAGAAATAAGAAATAAAAATAAGAAATTCGGATTAGATCACATTGTATCCAATATGGAATATGAAACTCTTAAATATAAAGAAATAGAAGATTGATTAAACAAGGGTAAATTTGAAATTTTCACAAAAGTACAATGGCATTTTGGAAGCAAGTGTTCTGAAATTTTATTTGTAGATTGCCCTTATCGTTTTGTAAAA